ACCGTGACAGAGAAATCCAATACACGGCATAGACCGTGACAGAGAAAATCCAAATTCCTTCATTCACAATATAAAAAGCTCCATCGTGTTTCACATTTTTAATCCCGCAGGGATTGCGCTGAAAGCTTTTTCAATAGAATTTTCTCTCAAGCAATGAATAGGATATCACTCAAACGTTTGTTTTTCCAAACACTACGGTCTAAGATCTGATTGTTGATGCAAGCAGCATTTTAGGATCTCTGATTGAGCAGATTCTCGTCGTAGTGTACGCGGACTGGCGCATAAGTTTTGTGCACTGATTAAATGGCCATCACAAATAGACATTTTTGATTAATCGTATACTTAATTTGCTTCATATGCAATATTTGTTTTATTATCTCCTGTGTCTGTGCGTCGTATGCTTTAAAAATAATAACTAATACAAATCATCTATGACAAAATTATAATACTAAATAATTATTTGATTTTTTTTTCGATAATATAATTTGATGCCAATGTGAATTAAAAAAATATACTGAGTTTATTATGATGAATTTTTACTCAATAGAATATTCTAATGCATGTTTCCTCATAGAAATAGTCTTCGACATCAGTAAAAATGGTTTCGCTTGTGAAACAAAAACACTTATATGATCAAGTTCTTGAAAAAAAGACACTCTAAACCAGTCATTAAGAAATCTTTTACCGGATCAGATTGATTTTTCAACGAGTCGAAAGCTATGATTTTGTACTATTTTCAAATATGGACTTAGAAATTTTGTTTCGGTTTTTATTCCAGAATAATGGAAATAATCTTTAACTAAAAGTTAGGATCTTAATTTATACATTAGCTTGTAGATCAGAAGTTATCCTACAAAATGTACTATTTGAAGTTTTTTTTTGTCTTCTGACAATGTACTTCAATTTTCGTTTTTTCCTAAATACTCATTTTTGAAAAACCGACAAGCCTTTTAATGTTGAAATGAGCTCCTGAAAATATGCATGGGTAGCAGCTACAGCTTAGTTCAATAACACATTTTGTAGAGAAATGTCCGCTCTACAAAACGGCGGACACCGATAACTCTTAGCATGTTCGAATAGGGACTTATCAGGTAAACAAAAACCTATTAGCTCACTATTAAAAATAGTTTTTCAGCTCTTTCAAACAGTCTTTAAATCATAGCTTTGGCTAAAAACTCTGCATAAAGTGCTTTCATCCGGCCGTCTCTCTCTCGATCCTATTCACTTCGCAACGACGTTATTTTGTTATTTTTTTTCACTTTCTGCCAGCGAAAGGTAAATAGTGTTCAAAAATTCGATTTCTGTCTAAAGTTACTACGAAATTGTAGAAGATTGATAGTAAGTTGGACATTGTGGGAGAGAACGAAGCCCCCCCCCCCCCCCTTTTTTTTTGACTCGTTTAAAGTACTTTCTAGCAGATTGACCATAAACAAACATGTTTTTTTAGAATATTAAAAATATAATTTTACTTACGAGCCGATGTTTTATTATTAATATAGAAAAAGAACTAATATAAGATAACGAAAAAGAAAAAGAAAAAAAAGGCTGATTACATATAAATATACACATGTAACATCTACTATTTGATTTATACAACAAGAAATACTCATATCTAATACGATGATAATTGTTCATTATTATTAGTAACCGAAGAATTTAATTTTGATTCATTTTCTTTTCAGAATGATTATTTTCTTCATGTAAACTTATATCCGATCCAATAATACGTGGCATAACAACATGATTATATGATTTTAAAGGTTGTACTGACATTTGACTATCAATTTGAATTGGTGTTCGAGCAATAGCATCTTAATAATAAAGAAAAATTTATAATAATAATTCAGATTTTCTTTTACCACTAGGAGAGCGAGGATCAAATAAAAGTTGAATATTATTTTTTGGTGGTGTATTACAAATATTTTCATGATATTTTGTATTTGAATTATTTGCACCCATATTAAAAAATGTTTTATTGAAATGAAACAATAATGATTTTCTCGCGCTAGAAATTTGATTGATTTTTTTTCTTTTGTTTTAATGTCACTACAATCAATGAGAAAAATTCTATGATAAAAAATAAATAAATAAATAAAACATTATTATTATTAGTTAATTTTTTCTACCAATGAATGAAAGAAAACGATAAAATAAAGAAAGAAGAACAATCCGTTGTTATTTATTGTTTGTTTTTTTTTTTGTTCCTCTTTTGTCTTATTATGTTATTCTTTATATATGTATTGATTAATTATCGAATCATACACCCTATTATAATAAAGTTATATTAACCTGAATAAATGCAATATAATAGATTAATATTTTTAGATATGACATCTAGGTTACGCTGTTTTTTTGATATCAAAATTGATGGCAATGATGGTATTCGTATATGCAAAAGAATTTTTATCTAAAGGTTCTTTTTTTTTTTATCTTTTTTGTTTTCTTTAGTTGGTCGTATTGTATTTGAACTTTTTAATGATACATGTCCGCGTACATGCGAAAATTTTCGATGTTTATGTACAGGTAAAATTATTCGATTTTGTTTTTTTTAATTTAAAGATTTGATTTATCATTTTTTTTTTGAATTTTTGTAGGAGAAAAAGGTCGTGGTTTAACATTATATAAAAAATTATATTATAAAGGATGTCATTTTCATCGAGTAGTGAAAAATTTTATGATTCAATCAGGAGATTTTACTGAAGGTAATAATTTGGCTTTTTGTTTTGTTGATTCAACTTCTTCTGATCATCAATTTATATTTTAACTAAAAAGGGAAAAGATAGAAGAAATAGAATACTCGTTGAATTCTATTTTATCTCTTTTAGTCACCACGCGTCAAAAGCGGGTGTTGAATAATATAAATTGATATACGATTTTTTTGTGTCTATCTGGTCTTTAAATTCCAGGCAACGGCACGGGCGGTGAATCAATATATGGTGGTACATTTAACGGTAAAGATTTTTATTATTATTATTATTATTTGAAAACTTAATAAAAAAAAAATTTCTAGATGAAAATTTTCAAATCCAACATGATCGACCATATCTTCTTTCGATGGCTAATCGAGGTCCGAATACAAATGGATCACAATTTTTCATGTAAGAAAAATCAATTATTTATTTATTCGATGAATTTAAAGAACAAAAATTTATTTTCTATTTTTTTAGTACAACATCTGAAGCATCACATCTCGATGGGTAAACTTTTTCAATATTCAGAAATCAGTGATAATATTAAAATTAAAAATTGTTAGCGCAGTCTTTGTCAGATTAAAATGTGAAATACGATATAGGTGCTCTTGCTAATCACAAGAAGATTGCTTCATTCTATCTATTTTAAGACACATTTGTTCGCCATCCTTGTACTAAATCCTTCAGAAATGCAGCACGTAGGTAGTTCATATTTGGCATACAGTTTTTGATCGTATATCGACAGCGCTTATGGCGGTCTATGGGGAGAGGACTCCAAGTTTTCATCCCTGTACTTCAGTACTCTTTTAAAAACGTATTTTAATGAGATAGGGATAGTAATATTTTAATCGAACTTTTTGGTGTTTATTTTCATATGAAAAATAGATCTTGGAAGATTTCGGCGAGTAGTCTCTTGTTAACTGTAAATACTGAAATGGGCAATAATTAAAATACGATTTAGCAATAAAAAAAAAACTTTATTTGAGGAATTTGTTATTATTAAATGTATAATAATTAATTCATTAAGTAGCAGTAGTAATTTCATATTTTAGCAATAAAACAGAAAAATAAAAAACAGTATATTATTATATGAATAAAGCTTTTTTTTGCTTTAGATAGCCTGTCTCCTTTTTTTATTTTGTAAAATTGAAAAAATACATATTTGTATATATAAGTGAATTCATATTGCCCTTTATTAACGGGTGATTGATCTAACACATCAGTACTGAACTACTACTTTATTGGAGAAATGGTAATTATATATATATGAATGAGCTAGGAAAAAACCAAATACTCTAGAAAGAAAACATATCTGAACAACATCAAGAGAAGAGAAATATCCAAGTTAGGAAGAGAGAAAGAAAACAAAAGATATATGTATACATCGGAGTTGATTTTAAAATTGAGTTCCCTTTTAAAGGCGACTAGTTGAATTTAAAAAGCAATTAGTTGATTTTGGAATATTTTAAAGTCAACTGCGACATATATGTGTCGTACTTCTCATCTGTCCGACATCGTAGAAGAGAAGGTAGGAAAAAAAAGAATATCCTTTTTATATAGAATTTACCTTTAATTTAAATAAATTATTGCTCATTCAGTATAATTACTTCTCATTCTATTTAATTATTGTTCACTCTATATAATTATTGCTAATTCAAATTATTTTATGGCTCAATTAAATATAAGTCATTCAAAAAATATCTATCCACTTTTTCACGTCCGTATTATCGTCACGTATTCAGAAATTCTTCAAAGGGTTGCACACCAACAGGAAAATAATTTTTTGTTTCGAGAAACGTTTTTCTATCTACACTTCTCCTGACTACGCCCCTGCACATATCATAACAAATAGTTCTTTGTTCAAAAATTTTATTATTATGATATCAGTTAAAGTATGATGAAATCGAGCATTGTTTTTACTCTCTCAGCACATACAGAAAGAAAGTTTCCTATCAGGGTTCGAAACGGGCCTCATTTTTATGGCCCATCTAAAGTGGTGGCCCGCCCGGCCCGGCCCAGGGCCGATGAAGATTTTTTTTACGGACATTTTTCCATGCCAGAATTCAAAAACCATATGCATGATTAACAATGTCTTTAAGAACATGTTGTCCGAATGTTATAGGAAATTTTTTAGTCAGATTGCTGAGACAAAAATAAAATCAATATGGGATGAATCGAGCTGCTTATTGAGTCAAAAGAACAAACAAAAGATGTTCGAAGATTTTTAACGTCAACAACGATTGTTTTGTGTGACTAGATATCCTTCAGCACTTTTCCTCTAGTAGGAAAAGACACGAAAAGAGTAGTATATTACTAGTTGAAAGTTTTTGCGATGAGAATCATTCGATGAGATAGTGCGCAGTAATAAGCTCTAGAAAATTTCTAACTCCGCTTTATTATATATCTGCCAAACTTGCCGTTGCTATCACAAGTTTGACATGAATATATAAAAAATAAGTTATTTCTATAAACAATAAATTAGATCTGGAAACTATGTGACAATATTTTCTACTTTTTGTGCAGATCACTTTCGACTTACATAAGTCTTACTTCACTAAATGCCCGAACTAGAGAGAGCGTAAGCTCAAAAAAATGGTACACTTCCTATTGGATTATTAGTTAATCAAAGTTTAAGAGTTGAATAAACTGTCATTTGTAATGGTAATTATCGAGGATGGTTTGTTTTCGACACATTTCTTCTGTCAATCATATTCTCATAGTAATTAATGTAATTAATATACTACTGAATAAAGTATATGGTCGAGACATACAATTCTTTTGAGATATTATTATGTTTTTTAAAAATATTTCAATCTAGAATTCGAATATTTTTTCTCTTGTAAACTTTTTCAGTAATTTGAATTGCATATGACAGATATAAAATACATTAAATTTAAATAAGACGCCGGGCCGGGCGGCTCGTTTCGAGGCCTGTTTCCTATACGAAATTAGAATACTTCTGTCACTATTTTTGGTATGTCTTAAGTATTTCTTCGTAAAAAAAAAATTTTATCACTAAACGAGAGAGTTTTTAATAGAATTGTAACATTTGTTTTTTTCTTTTCTATTTAGTAAACATGTAGTTTTTGGTCATGTTGTATCCGGTCAACAGGTAGTTGATACAATTGAAAATGTATCAGTTGATCCGAATAATAGTCGACCATTGAAAGATATTGTTATATCTCATTGTGGTCAACTTGTACTTATATCGAGTAAAACAAATCAAAGTTTGTTTTTTTTTTTTTTATTATTAAGAAATTTCTTCATTTTAGAAAGTCATAAAAAAAAGAAACATAAAATATCAACAGGAGATGAAAGTGAAAATGAACAAGGTAGTGAAAGTAGTCCATCATCTAATGATGATGAGAAAAAAGAAAAAAAAGTTAAACGTAAAAAAAAAGAAAAACATCAAAGAAAAAAAGAAGCAAAACGTTTAGCAAAACTTAATGTTGAAGAAGAAAATAAACCTGATGAAACAACTAATAATATTCTTAAAGAATCAAGTGAAATATCTGGTCGTGATATAATGGGTCTTAAAACAACAATTCTTCTCGAGGAAATACCTGAAATACCTGCTCATAAATTTCTTATGAGACCTACTTTAAATGATAATAATAATAATAATAATAATGAAATATCAAATACACGGTAAGAAAAATTTCCTAATCTTTTATTTTATATAAAAAACTAAACTTTTTTTTTTTTTCTTTAGTCCAACTAATTATCGTTCATCAAAAAAAATCGATTCAAGTGGTCGTCCAGTTAAAGGTCGTGGTTTTATGGTATGATGATAATTTTGTTTTTACATTTATTCTAATTTTTCTTTCTTTTTTTTGTTCTATAAAGAGATATACTGGAAAAAGTCATTCACGATCACGTACACCACCACATTGGCGTTTAGCAGTTGAAGATCGTAAACGTTTTTCTGATATAAATGAATATCGTAAACAAAATACAAATGAAAATAATTATAAACATAAACGTATTGATGATGAAAAAAATGATTATAATAGAGAAGATCGACATTTACGTCGACAAGAAAAACGAAAAGATGATAATGATGATGATCATCATCATTCAATTGAATCAATATCAAAACATAAATATCAACGAAATTCTACAAGTCCAAATATTCATCAATCAATTAATACTAAACATAAAGAAAATGATACATCAACTATTACTTTAAATAGTCCATCACCAACAAATCATCATTCTCCTCGAGCTACTTATTCACCATTACCAATAATTGAACAACATCAAAAGAAAGATTCAGGATCACATCGTCGTCATCAATCTCCTTCAATGACAGATGATCGACATCAAACTAAAAATTCTCGAGTACATCAACGACAATCATCACGTCATTATCATCATCATCATCGTTCAAAAACTCCTCCAGTTTCATCTTCTCGAATTCGTTCGTCGCCGCCGCCAATGATTGAGCAACATGAAAATAATGAATCTCAATCACGTCATCGGCGTTCAAGAACTCCACCACCTTCATCTTCACGAGTTCGTTCACCATCACCCAAGGTTGATCAACGGCAAGCCAAGGATTCTCGAACACGTCCTCGTCGTTCAAAAACTCCATCACCGAAAATTGATCAACGTCAATCTAAGGATTCTCGAACACGTCCACGTCGTTCAAAAACTCCATCACCAAAAATTGATCAACGTCAACCTAAGGAATCTCGATCACGTCCTCATCGTTCGACAACACCACCATCGCCAAAAGTCGAACAACGTCAAGCTAAGGATTCTCGTGCACGTGCTCGCCGTTCAAAGACTCCTCCACCATCATCGTCACGAGTTCGTTCACCATCACCCAAGGTTGATCAACGGCAAGCTAAGGATTCTCGAACACGTCCTCATCGGTCAATAACTCCACCATCGGCATCATCTCGAGTTCGTTCACCATCACCAAAAGTTGATCAACATCAAACAAAAGATTCTCGAACACGTCATCGTCGTTCAAATACTCCACCAATTTCTTCTTCTCATATTCGTTCATCATCACCAGGTATAATTGATCAACATGAAATCAATAATTCTCAATTACAACAACAAAAAGATGCCAATATAGTACGTCCAAATCCAACACCAATTTCATCATCAACAAAACGACGTAAACGTTGGGAAAATGAAGAAGAATTTAATGAACGACAATCAATAGCACAAGCAGCACAACATGCAAGTCTTGAAGAAGAATTACGTATGATTGCACAAACAAGTGCAGCACAACTTGAACCACCAAATCATTTTGTTAACATTCCACAAGAATCACAGATATCAACAACAATACCAACAACAACAACAGTTGTTAGTAAATCAAAATGGGATGATGAAGATGAAATGTATGTTTCATTATTGCCATATAATAAAAAAAAAAAAACTTAATTTTCATTTTATAGAACATCAAAAGAAAAAATTAATCTTCCAGGTATTTCTGAAAAATCTATTGATAAACAACAAGATAAAATATCATTAAATAATAATCGACGAGAAAAAGAATCAAGTCGTGAACGTGATCGTGATCGTGATCGACATCGACGTGAACAATATTCATCACAAACTAGTGGTAGTCGATATCATGATCGAGACGATTATAATCGTCAACATAGTGGAAATCGTCGAAAATATTCACCTCCATCATCTTATCGTGGTCGTCAAGATGATAGACGTCGAGGTAAATTTTTAAATGACCTCTAATATTCTGTAAAGGATTATTAAGTCTATATACTTAATCATATACCGGGTGCGGCATAAAGATTGCAACATTTAGTATTTTGCAAATATCTCAGCAGTAATCGATCGTATAACCTTGATTCTTTTTTTTTAAAGATGCGTCGTGAAAAGCTCTACAAAAAATGTAAGAACAATTCCCTAGTGACTTGTTCTGATTGTGTCTTCTATATTCAAAATGAATAGGTCACATGATGATGCTATGTCCCACTGTATTAAATATTCGGAAGACTTTTTTTTATTTTGCAATAGGAAGTTGTTCATACAGCTTTTATAGAGGTTTCAACGATGCATCTTTGAAAAAAAATCAAGACTCTATCATTTTCCCAAGTCCAGATATTCGCAAAATAAAAAAAGTCTTCCAAATATTTAATACAGTGGGACATAGCACCATCATGTGACCTATTCATTTTGAGTGTAGCAGACACCATCAGAACCAGTTAATAGGGAATTGTTCTTACATTTTTTGTAGAACTTTTCACGACGCATCTTTTAAAAAAAGAATCAAGGTTATACGATCGATTTCTGCTGAGATATTTGTAAAATACTAAATGCTACAATCTTTATGCCGCACCCGGTATATATATATATCTCAAAAGTTATAACTTCTTCAAGTATAGAAAAACTAAATGTAAATTTAGAAATGAACATCTTTATTACAATTTTCTTTTTTGAAAAAAAAAACGTCCAACGAATTTCATTACTAAATGTTTTTGTATGATTCAAAACGAACTCAAAAAGAAGCTATTTTTAGTATTTCTTTTTATATAAGACCATAAGTTTACGATGCAAAATAATCTTGCTTGACAGAAATGAATTATCAAAATCTGAGTTACATTTATACAAGAGCCATATTAACATATGCTAGAAAAATTGTTTCTTTTTTTTTGTAATACTTCATCTATCAACAGTATAATTAACTTTTTAGCTTTATTCTATATAATATATTAAAAATAAGAAAACTCAACTTGAAGAACTAACTATCAAAATAACAACAACGTCATATAGATAATGTCCGGATGTTACCATGTCATAGTGACATACAGAATGAAAGAAAACTTGATCTGAATACTTTATATGGTAGAATATAAACAGGAAGATATTAGGGTATAACAGCGTACATATTTAACCCGTTCTACTTTATGTAGATCTATTCTGCCTATCATGACCTATGTTTTTTCCTATATATATTGATATGATAATATTAATTGAATAAAAATAGAAGACTGTTTATAAAAAGTCAAGTATACTGGAATGATCTCAATATACGAAACATTTATGGAATATAAATGTATGATATGTCTGTCGAGAATAGATAAAAAAACCAAATATTAACATTTAGAAATAGCTCTAGTATTTTAATGAATTTTTATAAACTTATTGAGAAGAATGTATCATATCCTGCAATATGACGACAATAGAAAGATAAGTCAGGGAACAATAAGAATTAGTTAACAATTTATTTCAGGTAATAATAATAATAAGCGACTAAAATGTGCGAACCAGCAACTTTGTGAAATGACTAAATGAGTCGTGTAAGTCATAATCTATCCATTGCCACCACTTGTATACAGTTAAAATGATAAACAAAAAGTAGTTTCTCGTTTTGCTAGCGACAAAGATACTCGATTATATACTTTGATAGCCACATATCCTAGCTAAAAAGTCGTGTTGTTCTGATTGAAGATTTAGAGAAACTCTGATAGACAAGCAATCAATCTATCTCTCTTATGCAGTCTATTTGATTTGTGACAGGCTCGCCAATTCCTTCGAACCTCTTTTAACTTCCCTGCTAAGATGTAAATAACTCAGAAGATAAACTTGATATAGCGTTTATTTTTTTCAACAATCACAACACGTTTTCAAAGAATCCTATATTATTTTAGTCTATCTATTAAATGAAAATCACATAGATTTTTTGATCAGATAAAAAAGTTTAGCAGTAATACGCAACATCCGGAAAGGTATTGATAGTATTTTTCGCACGAGACAGCACATGTTAAACAAAAAAAAAAAGAGTGTATCTAATCAGAAAGAATGTATCATTAAAAAAATGAACTTTATTCTTTCTACTATTACTAGAATGACGTACCGAGGAAGAAACAAAAAAAAGTAACTATTACACTCTTTATCTTTCATTTGAAGACAAAGGTAATTGTTTCGTAAAAATATTTGTGTCTCAAAAACTGCAAAAATATTTTCTATATTTAGTAAATAATTTAAGATACTCAGTGATAAAAAAATTCTTATGATTTTTCTTATCTATCATATGATACATGCTCGTTAGTTTTTTTTTTTTTTTGTTTTGACTCATTTATAACATCACAATTTCAAAATAATAGATGTTTTTTCGTTCGAATGAAATATTATTTCTATACAAAGAGTTTTTTTATTTATGTTGATTGATTGAAAAAAACAAATCTGTCTACAGTTTGTCAAAAAATATTTCTTTTAGTTATTAGAATAAAGAAATATATGTTTAGCTTATGCCCTTTGTGTGTGTTCTATATAAGTATCTTATTAACGAGGACTTTTCTCTACGATCTTGCTTAATGTACCATTAGTTTTTCTTATTAACGAGTGCAATTATGTTTGTTGCTGATGAAGTATAAGTAAAAATGAGTATCCATATCGTTGAGCAATGACAATAAATAAGATAACAAATTAAAATACTATCTCTGATAGAAGAGATCACAATTATCTATTGTACTCTATTTATAATAAATAAATATCATTGTAGGTCAAGATCGTGATTATGATCGACGAAAAGATGATCGTGAACGAAGTAAATTTATTTAAAAAAAAAAGAGTTTTCTAAAGATTTATTTATAACATATTTTTATTTAAGATCAACGTCGTCGTAGTATTGGTCGTTCATCTCATTCGCATACACCAATTCGACATAAAACAAAACGAGAATCATCTACTTCGAGTACATCATCATCGTCATCGTCGTCATCATCTTCATCATCAAATAGTTCATCAAAATCGTATGTTTGATTTTTATATTTTTTTTAGTTTTTCATCATACAATAAAATATTTTTTTTTTAGACATAATAAACAACGTCGAACTTCACCTGTTCAATCAAGTGAACAGAAGAAAAATAAAGATACTACACCTTCATCTTATGTATAATATCTTGTTATCTTACATCATTTCCCTAGTCTACTATTTCTTGTTTGATTTTTTTTCGTTTGTGACAAAAACTATCAATGTGTGTCGATTTCTTTTTTTTTCAGATTTTTATGTAAAAAAAACCCAAAAGAAATTTCTTCATGATTGAAGAAACATCAACAGTAGTAAATGATATTGATAGTGATAAAAATGATAATAAAACATCATATATGCGTCCAAATATTCTATTAACTGGTCTTCGACGATCAGGTAAAACATCTATACAACGTGTTATATTTACTAAAATGCAACCATCACAAACACAATTTCTTAAATCAACTCCACATTTAACTATAAATCAATTTTCTTGTGGTTCATTTATTAATTTTCAGGTGCAAGAATTACCCGGTCAATTACATGTATTTCCATCTTTACAATTTCCAAATAGTGATGGTACACATAATGGTTCATCATCATTATATGATGATGATAATACAACACATCTTGTTAGTGGTGGTTATGATATGGAACGTTTATTAAAACGATGTAATGCTGTTGTATATATAATTGATGCTCAAGATGATTATAGTCAATCAGTATCAAGTTTAAATATGATAATACAATCAGGTAAACGTGTTAATCCAAGATTAAGATATGAAGTATTTATACATAAAGTTGATCAATTGTCAGAAGAAGCAAAAATTGAAACTCAACGAGATATTCATAATCAGGTATATTACAAAAATACATGAACTCAAGAAAATATTGAAATTTTAGAAGTTTTTAAGTTTGTTTATGACATTCTTTCAATATAATGTTATATGAGACTAATGATAATCTTTTGCGTAGTAAATCTATTATTCATAGTTATTTCAATGATAGTTTTATAACAGAAGATATTCTTTAATAAGTATTAGTATGTTACTGTTATAAAAATGTTAATAATTATTGCATTTCTTACATAGTTACTAAAAATGATAGTTATTCGGAACTATGAAGAGTATTTTGTTTTCCTTATGTATTCGATGAAATCTTTTTTGAAGATAATAGATATGCTCGCTTGAACTTTCAGACTCTATAAATACTTCACAATAAAGCGACAAATTCGGATCACATTGACTTTCGTTCATACTCGTTACTAATGTGATAGATATTTCAATCAAAAAACGTCAGGCGTCAGATCAGATAAGATCATACTAAAAATTGTGGCTTTAAAAACTTATAGTAAATCACACTATAAGGTTCTCAAAAGATCTTACCGCCACATAAAATATTCTATAATCTGATACGACGACTTATGAGAGAATCTCTTTAAGTGTCATATCAATTTTCGACTGAGACAATGTTCATCTAATGATCAATAGAGAAGTCTACAATGGTTTGGTTTCCCAAGTTTTTCGATATCTCAAGAATGAAGACTCAGAAAACCAAACCATTCTAAACTTTTTTATTACTTGTCAGATGAATATCGTCTCTAGTGAAAAACAATTTAACATCTAGAGAGATTGTCTCGTTAGATTAAGATTTCTCGGATTATGATTTTTATGTGACCTTACAGTGTGGTTGTTTGATTTAGTAGTCTTTCTAATATCTGTCATCTTCACTATTGTCATTGACTAAGAGACAAGATTGTATAAGTACAAGACATCTTATTGAAATTTTAATTAATTTTCGTTTTTTGTTTAGGTACGAGAGCATTTTGCTGATGTAAATGGTGGAACAGATTCATGGCCATTAACATCATTTGGGTCAAATCCAAATACTCAGAGTCTATTAATAAATTTTCATTTAACATCAATATTTGATCATTCAATATTTGAAGCATTTTCAAAAGTAATACAAAAATTAATACCACAATTTAATCATTTAGAAGATTTACTTAATTATCTTATATCAGCATCAAATATGGAACAAGCATTTTTATTTGATATACAAACAAAAATAAGTATTGCAACTGATTCATCACCAACTGATATGCAAGTAAGTTCAAATCTTTATAAAAGAAGAATTTTTCATTATTTATTTATTTATTTATTTACTAAGATGTATGAATTATGTTGTGATATGATTGATTTATTAATTAATATGAGTGAAATATATGGACGATCAAATGATAATGTTGTTCAAACTACTGAAGATGATGGAATAATAAATGATGAACAATCTTACGATAATCCTGATGATGAAGATGATGAAAACGAAGGACATATTGTGAATGGTATTCATGAATCAACGAATTCATATTCAAATTGTAAGATATTGAAATAATTTTCCAAAAAAAAAAAAAAAGAATAAGCAAATCTATTTTGATGCATTAGATTCATTTAGTACAACACCTATGGTAACTTCTTTTGCATCAATGACGGAAACGATTACTGAACCTACATCAAATGTATTTGATTCAATGTCTTCAAGTGTTATAAAATTAACTGGTGGTCGAGCACTATATCTCAAAGAAATTAATCGTCATCTAGCATTAATTTGTGTTCTACGTGAAGAAGCACTTACAAAACAAGCTATTATTGAATATAATGTTAATCAATTAAAAAAAAGTATTTTAGAATTATTTCATTTAACTCCTCAGACATCTTCATCTTCTGTAGCATCATAGAATGTTCGTTTTGTTTTGTAAAAAAAAAAAAAAAGAAAATACTAAAATCGAAAACAAAAAATAATTTACATCTTATTTGTTCTTTCTATCCCTATCCCACCAATTTTATCAGGAATTCATATTCGGGTTAGTTTTTCTTGGTTTTAAAAGCCCTTTGTGTTATATTTCGCATGCGTAAGCAAATATTCTTTTATTTATGTACATAAATCTGTCTATTTGATTGGATAACAGTAATGCTATATTGTTTATTCTTTGATTGATAAAGTATTATTGTTTGTCCATTTTCTTTAATTTGATTCTTCTTCTGCACAGTAGTACAAACAGTGAATTATCTGTTCGGTTTTTTCATATTTTTTTGTTTGTTTGTTTGTTTGTCGGTTTTCTATTTCTTATGTATGTATACGTACATAAAATAAATGGTTTTTTTTCCTTGTATTTTTTTACATACACATATTTGTACTGCTTTATGTTCGTTGTGTGTGTGTGTGTGTGGAGTTCTTAATTTTAAAAAAAACAGGCAAATAGTGCAAATCAGGAATCGTGATTTGTTTTACTAAAAAAATTTCAGCATGTTTTAGTCATTGACGAATTTCTATAAAGAATTATTGACTCAATATTAGAAGTATGTATTTAATCGACTTAGTTTAAAAAATAGATATCCTAGACAAAATTGAATTTAGATAGAATTTAGTTTTTAATTAGCTACAAAAGCTATAAAATAATTTTCTTTTTGTTTAAAAATAAAACCTAATTATCATTTGCATTAAGAAAACATAACACGTACTTGTTGTTGTTATTTTTTTATGTAGACAGAGTATTCATCTTCACTTATATTGTAATGTATGCATAAATTACTTTTCATAGAGAAGACACTTATTATTCTACCAAAGAGAATATATAAACTAAAAAATCTTTCATTGTTTTTTTTTTGTTCGAATCATAACTCAAGAAAACTTAACAATTGAAAGTACTTGCCAATTCTAGAATTTCTTAGAATTATCTAAATTTCAATTAAAATTAAATATAACTTAATATAGATATATAAGATCAATTCTTTATTCTCATTTTTTTAAATTTTAAATCTTTTCAAAACTATGTTAATTTTGTCTGAATCTTAACTTTATGTAACACATACGTTTGCAGAGATTGGCAAGTCAGTGATTTTTGGACTCAAGTAAAAGCTTAATCAGTTCAATCAATTTTCAAGTCAAGTCAAATCGAAGCAAAATATGAATAATTTCTATAATTCATATTTTGTCAGTAATGATAAAAAAGAATCTAAATCTCCTGTTACTTTGAACGTCCAAAACTAAGGATGAAAATGTAGCTACTAAACAAAAAACTTTTAATTGCTTATATATTTTTTCATATAAAGAAGGAATTGTTGTCATTCGACTCACAGTTTAACGACTTGTTAGGTTCTATTTGGGATCAGCAGTTTTCATGAAACTAATGAATGCTGGCTGTTATACAATTGACAAAGGTAAACCTAATTTAACAAATGAATCATTAACAATAGCTGAGGACAACTCGACCTGTTGAACATAGTAGTGCACGATTTGTCTTTTTGAAAATCATTTATAATTTTATTTGTTTACCTTTCTAGAGAAATAGTTTTTAATTTATGTTATCATATCTCGAAAGATTGTTTATGACATTTTCAGGTATGTGGAGTAAAATTTGAAGTAATATGCAACATATGAAAAATTCTTTTAGGCCTTTTACATAAAAAACATTTAACTGATTATCTAATTTTTTCTGTACAATATTAAAGAGATCTTTAAAGAAGTTATCACGAGCAGTGTAGGACTATTTTTGGATCATTCTCAATTTTTCTTCAATCATGATTTACTTAATGCAGAAGTTCTCGAGAAATCATTTACTAATAAAATATAGCGATTTCTGAAAGATACAGACCTGTTTTCACTCAAATTATTCATATTCATGTTTGTAATATAAACACATATTTCATACATGGAAGGGTGTCTTATATAAATTTTTTCATACTAAGACATTTCCAACTGGAAACTATATCAATCAATTATTCATCTTGTTGTCTTTCTCTGGTAAACATTTCAGTTCGAACGATTGAAGTATCACAGAATAATGACGTAAATATTGTTCCAGATGCATATGAAAATTATATAGTTATGTTATCATTTCTGCGCAATGTTTTCTTAATAACATGGGAAAGAAAAGAAAACATTGAGTTTTGATTGATTCTGAAAGTTCGAAGGAAGAACTTCAAAGCCAGACACTTTTTGATTTTGTTAGAAGTGATCCTTGTTAAATAAGACGACTTCAATATCGTTTAGAAATTCTTATTCTTTATTTTTCATCGGTCTTTAACAGATTTTGATTGGAAAAAGTAGATATTGAGTAAAAACTAATAAAATATTTGGAATCAGCATAAAAACTTGAATCGACTTATATTTGTTTCAAAGTTTTTCTACGAACTTTTTTTTCTTGAAAAAATTCAGCTGGAATACTCCTCAAGGTTCAGTCAAAAAGTGAATTTCATCAAAACATCATTTTTATTGGTTAGTTATTTGTTTTTGTTTTGTCTCGTAATGGTGATTTATAGGTTCAGAGCTTGTTATTGAGTGAAGTACATAAAAGCTATACCGATATCAAGAAAAAAAAATGAATAGCTTGATCCATATGAGAATTAAAGTAGACATAACAAAAATCAAATTCTTTTTTTTGTATTGGTTTATGACTTTTTCATCTATGTACTTGAAACCATTAAGTGGTTCTTGATATTCGAATAACTTCTCACAATAGTTGATTGCCTTTGAACATAAATTACTATATATTGAGTGCCGCAATGCTATTTGAGAATCAGATATTGTGGTATCATTTGCTAATTTTTCCAAGTGATGAATAGTACT